GAAAGGCATAAACAGTTATCAAGAGATTCTGATACCACCATGAAAAAAATGAAACTAAACACCTTTTAGGCATTGTCTTAAAATAATGCTCATGTTCAGTTTCTTTATCCACTCTTAGCTTGGACTCTTTGAACGGAAATGTAAGCTTGTTTTCCTTTTGTGGCATCTGTCCAACTTAAGAAGTAGCAAACATCTGGCAGTGGCATAATCTTTATTTTATTTAGCTGTATGAAATACTCAGTTTTGAAGTAAAAAATAGGGAAACTAGAATTTATTAAGTAAAGTGAGTATCACATAGTCTCTTACTACATACAGAAAGAAGTAAAGAATTCAACAATTCTTGCCAGGCACCAGTGGCTCACACCTGTAATACTAGCACTTTGGGAGGCTGAGGCAGGAGGAGTGCTTGAGTTGAGTTCGGGACCAACCTGGGCAACATGGTGAGACCTCTCATCTCTACAAAAAAAAAAAAAAAAAAAAAATTTAAAAATTACCTGGGCATGGTGGTGTGTGCCTATAGTCCCAGCTACTCAGGAGGCTGGGGTAGAGGATTGCTTGAGCCCAGGAGGTCAAGGCTACTGTGAGCCATGAATGTGCCACTGGACACCAGCCTGGGTGACAGAGTGAGACCCCATCTCAAAACAAAAAACAAAACAAAACAATTCTTTACATATCTCATTTTTTAATGGGATTCTTGTGTCTCACTGTAAATTATATGTAGTTACTGCCATGAAAAAATTGACTAGTTTGTTTACTTTGGATTTTAAACTTTAAGGTACTTGGTTTTGAGTATATGTTAAAAATCCAAATCTTATTTGAACCATGACTTTGTCCCTTTTCAGGGGCAGATCCATTTACTGAGGAATATATGCATTATAGGAAGATACAAAATTGAAAGCAATAAGCATACATTTGTAACCACTGATAAAAATAAGAGTTTATATGACAAAATGACAAGTAGAACAATGAATTCTTTATTTCTCATTTTTGAAATGGTGCAAGAGTATAGAAATTTGTCTCCAATATGCTGGGATTAAGTCGGAATAACTATGTTATTTTTATAGCTGTTTACACATTTCTGAGACATAAAATTGTATAAGAACTGTGAGCTACAGGAATATTGCTTGAAAGCTGCTATGCTTTCCTGTTAGTGTTACTCATCTCATTCTTAAAATTTAAAATGCCATTAATATACAAAACAAAATATTTTAAGAATGCTGGAAGGGTAATAATTAACATTAATACTTATTAAGGGCTTTCCTAGACAGGTAATAATCAACGTGAACACTTATTAAGTTCTTTCTAAGTGCCAAGCTTTGAAATATATTGTTTACTCATCATAACAATTGTGAAGTGAGTATTATTATTACCGTATTTATAGGGTGAATAAAATGGTTTAAATATCCTACCCAAAGTGATAGCTATCATCTTCAAAGAGCACATAAGTGAAATGAAGAGACAGACTCTATGGGAAAGGTATAAATAACTAGTTGCAATACATGATTTCTTTTTATTAGCATTAGGGAAAACTTGGAGGAGAAGATGCCATTCACATATGGCATAACGTATATAATGGACAGGATATGCAACGGGTTATAAAAAAAAAACATGAATAAAGGAATGGGGAAATAGGGGAGACAGTTTTGTAAATTGCGATCCAGTTTTCCTAAATGTTATGTTTTAAGGAAAGTAATAGTGAATATTGAAAAGTATGCTGGGGTCAGTTGTTGAAAAGCTTTCAAAATGCCATTTAAGGCAATTTGGACTTTTTTTTTTTTCAAACAGTGGAAAGGTATAGGGGGAAATTGTTGAGAAACTAAGATTTCTGGAAGTGAGAACTAAAAGGCACAGAGAACTATGTACTTAAAATCTAGAAGCTCTTGACCCTAATTACCCTCCGTTAGGTTAAGAACCTAATTATGAGATTTTTGCCTTACAGAATCTTCAGCCAGTTACTCGTAACTGTAAAATAGATAAGTCCCAAATCTAAAGATAGATTAGCCTTGGTGAAGATATTACAAAAATAATCACTTTTTACATAACATTCATTAAAAAAAAAATTTCTCTACAATATGAAGAAAAAAAGGCAGACTTCTAGTTCTCAAGAAGAATTAACGTTGTGAGATGGGTGGTATGTTAGGTTGCTGATGTTGCTGCAACAAATTGCTACAAGTTTAGTGGTTGAAAACAATACAGATTTATTCTCTTACAGTTTGGGAGGTCAGAAGTCCTAAAATGATTTGTAGGGACTACATTCATTCTGGAGGCTCTAGGGGAGAATCCATTTCCTTGCCTTTTCTAACTTCTGGAGGCTGCCTCCATTACTTGGCTTATGTCCCCATCCTCCATCTTCAAAACCAGCAGTATATCATCTTATAATCTCTGTGTATCCCCTTGATTTTGTTGTTATCTCACCTTCTGTGTCTGTGGCCCTCCTCCCTCCCTAAGAACGCTTTTTAATACATTGAGCCCACCCACATATTCCAGGATAATCTCTCCATCCCAGGACCTTGAACTTAATCACATCTACAAAGTCCCTTTTGCCATAGGTAACTTATTCACAGGTTCCAAAGGGTTTAGATGTGGACATCTTTGGAGGACATTATTCAGCCTGCCACAGGTGGTATGCAAAAATATTCGTCTAATATGATTAGTAACTTGATAGGAGTAACATATATGATGCTGGAGTTCTCAGAATTAAAGCAGCTCATATAACCATGAGAGTGGGAGAATTCTGGGAGCAACTGATGGTTGAATTGAGTCTTAGAGGATAAGTGGGAATCTTATCAGGTTAAAAAATACAAGGAGTCCAAACAGAATGCCATGTCAAAGGTATGGCAAAGACAAACTGCATGAAATTGCTAGTTTCATAATTAACAACACTTGACACAATCGTCATAATGGAAATATGTGTAAAGTAAGTGGCTGCTGAAGTGAAGAAACAGATATCTAAGTCAGAGTGAGGGACTCATAATAAGGCACCTACCTTCATTCTCATCCTCTTATTTTCATGATTGATCTCCCGTGGTGGTCACCTTTCACTTGGTGGCTCAAGGTCCTCTGTTCTTTTCTCACTGCTGTCTCTTCAAGTATGGATGGACCAGAGATCATTCAGTTATATCAATCCTCATAATATTCAGTACATTCTTTAGGCACTTGGCTCATGAAAGTAGATGTGTTTTTGTGAAAATATTATTTTGACTTTTATTTTAGCTGTTGTTTTTCTTCTGTGAAAGCCCTTGGTTAAAAAAAAATAGACTATCAGAGTTGGGGTACAGGGAAGAGAGCTGAAGCAGTGTAAGGTCCATCAAACCTTATAATAATAAAAGCCCAGTTAGGTAGTGGTGACTCTGAAAATAAACCTCTTCTATCCACTGATCATCAGGAGTAAGGAGGGAAAAGAAATAGTCTATGGTCTCTGTGTGCTGGCCTTCTCCCCTTGCTTTGTAGAGAGCTAGCACTGACTCTACTCAAAAGCCCTATTTCCCTGACGTTGCTGGGGGAGCAGAAGGTGGGTTGCTCTGACACTGTATTCTCCTGTGACCAGTAGCTTGTGTTGTCACAGCTTTACCAATAATAGGTCCTCTTGCTGGAGAGCCACTTCACAGCTTTCCCTATTGAATTCAGGTCAGGTCTCCACTTCTTACTTTAACCCAACATTTTACTGTTCTCCAGTATGCTCGCAAACTCGTAGAATCAATTCAGTATTTATTAAATACTGCACATATTTTATATTTTCTACATTTGATGTGATTTTCGTTGATATTCTGTTTCATATTTTCAACTCTGATGATAACATTTCTCATAAAGAAGACTATCCTTACAACATATCTTCATTTAGAAAAAGTATTTCTATAAATGAAATTCAGTAAGTTTCAATTTGATAATTTTGTATTAAAATGAATTTCTGTAGGCATCAATATTGCAATAACAATTATTGATGTGTTACAATAACAAATGTTGACATTATTGACATATTGACATTGATACCTTAATTAAGCAATAGGTTAAAGTAAATAATTTATAAACAGATATGAGTGTGAATTCCAGCATTGTGATATTTCTCTTTAGCCTAGGACAAGTTACTCAAGCTCTCCAAGCCTGTTCTTTCATCCCTTAAATGAAGATAATAATAGCCTTGTGTGTTGTTGAGAAGTTTAATATTTATAAAATGCCTGGCATGTAGAGTGTGCTCATAAATTCTGGTAGTGTCATTATTCCTAGTGATTATTACAAGTAAGCATTAGTAAACTTCTATATTCTATGGTTTAAAAATAGTCTGCTTATAAAATTGGTGCTTTGTATCAGCAGTCTCCAACCTTTTTGGCACCAAGGACCAGTTTTGTGGAAGACAGTTTTTCCATGGGCCTATGGGAGCTTGGTGGATGGTTTCAGGATGAAACTGTTCCACCTCAGATCATCAGGTATTAGTTAGATTCTCATAGGGAGCACACAGCCTAGATCCCTTGCATGTGCATTTCACAATAGTGTTCACGCTGCTATGAGAATCTAATTCTGCTGCTGATCTGACAGGAGGTGCGGCTCAGGCTGTAATGCTCCCTTGCCTGCTGCTCATCTCCTGCTGTGTGGCCCAGTTCCTAAAAGGCCACTGGCTGGTACCAGTCTGTGGCTCAGTGACTGGGGACCCCTGCTTTATATCATGTTTTAAACTATTTACTAACAGGTAAGAGGTAGTATATCGCATGGTGATTAAGAACATATTAGACTCTGGATCCAAATTTCAGCTCTATGACTTATTGCCAGGCTGATCATCGACAAGTTACCTAAATGCCTTGTGCATCACTTTCCTCAGCTTTAAAATGAACGTAACAGTAGCAAATTTATCTCAGGGATATTATGAAGAGTCAATCAGATTAAGTATATAAAAAGTATGAAACAGTTGCTGACACTTAATGCTGGCTGTCAGCCTGTGCCATTGTTATTGTTGTATTATTAATGTGTTGTTGGGTAAAAAAAAATTTTTTTAAATCACTTTTTAGGTGAATCTTGGAAGCAACCAGTACCTTTTCTCTGTCATAGTGGATCCTAAAGAAATGCCCTGCTTCTGTTTACGCCATGATGTTGATGCCCTACTCTGGCAACCACACTCCAGCAAACAAGATGATATGTGGGAGCACATCGCAACTTTCAATGCTTTAGGTATAAAGCAAACTCTTTGACATTTTCCATGAAATCAAAACTACAGTCATCATTCATTTAAAGTTCATTCCTTTTTTTTTTCTTTTTAATTTGAGCTGTCCTGATTACATTTAGATTGATTTGTGCTATGATTTGTTTTCTCGTACTAGCGAATGAGTGTTAGCACTGTTGGAACATTTAGACTAATCTGTTTTTCTGCTTATACAGAAGATCAAGACAGAATAGAAATGAAAGTGGTTATCTAACCATTTGAATTATTCTAATAAGTCATTTGCTTTTTCTAATTCTGTAAGCCATATGATACTGGAGTTTGAACAAGGAGCTTGATAATACCCTACATGGAACTTGTATTCAAGTTTCTTCAGAGTAATCTTCAAAAACATCATAGAATTCCCCTAAGGTATAATGCACATTAGGAGACATCTTTTGTCAAAATTAAGACAAAAGAGAGCCATTATAATGAAAACACTTATGGAAAGCGGTGATAAGCAGAAATTAAATTTATTTGGTAGGATAAAAGGAAAAAAATCAGTTTTAAAATTAGGGCTTGAAAATGTTGAAACTACTTAATTGTAGATGGATGCAATCATTGATTTTTTGTCAAAATGCATTAGTATTGTGTGACAGAAATTTTTTATGTGAGTTAGCCACAGTTATTGCTTTATTGAAAGGTTATTTTAAACTGGCAGCAAGAAGTGAAAGTATGTATTTTGATGGCTATATATGCACAACCCTAATAGTAGAAGAAATTTATTAATTATCCCTTATAGTTAATAATATAGGCTGCTAAACTGGTTCAGACACCAAATGGATTTTTATGACCTGAAGTACAAAGTTTGGTTGACTAATTTAACCATATAATTTTTAGCCTCCCTATTATAATGCTATTTTTTAATTATCTATACTTTAGTCAGAAGAAAGCTCTATCATATTATCTTTAGATGCTCAGATCTTCTATTTGTATCCCCAGATCCCCTATTATAGAGGAAGTCTATGCTTAATTCTAAGTTAAATCAATGTTACATTAGATATGTACTCTTGAAATATATACATTATTCTGTCAAGGTTAGCCTGGATAGCTACTTTAAACTATTTAAATAGGTATCTAAATCTTCACTTTTCCCACTTCAAACCCTGCTTAATTAAAAACAATACTGATCTGCATGTGCTCAGTAGTTCCTTTGCTTATTCATTGTTTGATGAGATCTCAATTTTAATTAGTGTTTTTTTTTTTTTTTTTTTTTTTGAGGCGGAGTCTCTCTGTCTCCCAGGCTGGAGTGCAGTGGCGTGATCTGCGCTCACTGCAAGCTTCGCCGCCGGGTTCACGCCATTCTCCTGCCTCATCCTCCCGAGTAGCTGGGACTAGAGGTGCGTGCCACCACGCCCGGCTAATTTTTTTTTGTATTTTTAGTAGAGACGGGGTTTCACCATGTTAGCCAGGATGGTCTTGATCTCCTGACCTCATGATCCGCCCGCCTCGGCCTCCCAAAGTGCTGGAATTACAGGCGTGAACCACTGCGACCGGCCTATATTTTTATTTTACGTGATCTTAAATACCTAACATGTACTAACCATGTCACAATCTGAAAATCATAATTTATATTTCGGAACATAAATGTTGTTTTAATCCGAAAAGATACTTTTTAAATGTGTACATGAATTAAGATTAAGGATTTTTTCAGTTTAGAGACTTGAAATTATTTTTTAGGTTATAGTGGTCAACATTCTACTTCTGGGGCTGAAAGTACAACAAAATCCGGTTACAGTGTTGGTATTGTTGTGTAAAAATATCACTAACATTTTAGGGATAATAAGAGAATGCATCACGAATACTAGTACATTCAGGGATACATTATGAACAGAAACCTAAAATAACTTTATGATGGTATCCTATACACATTTTCCAATTTATTTAAGAGGAAAAAAATGATTCTGTGATGCCATATCTGTAATTCATGAAGCTAAATATTAAATTGGCACTTAAAGATATTTGTCATATAGTTAGTGTTTTAGATTTTAGAATTTTAGTGTTCGAATTATTCATGGAAATTAAATGAAACTGTATTATGCTTTTCTTGAAGAGAGAAAGCCATATCTGTTTTGTTCCTTAAGAATTAAAGTTGTATTTTTGTACCAGTTGGGAGAGACTGATTGTGGCTAATCATTAATGATTCAGAATTATATACCTTACGGTATATATTTTACTTGGGCATTTTAATTTGTAATAAACATTGCAAAATATTAAATGTTAAATCATGATTTTTCCCCTTCTGTTTAATATATAGTTTTTCTTTTGTTTATCTCATATTCTTGGCAGGCTATGTCCAAGCATCAAAGAGAGACAAAAAATTTTTTGCCTGTGCTCCAAATTACTCCTATGCAGCCCTTTGTGAGTGCCTTCGTCGAGTATTCATCTATCGTCAGCCTGCTCCCATGTCCACTGTACTTTACAACAGAAAGGAAGGCAGGCAAGTAGGACAGGTTGCTAAGCAGCAAGTAGCAAGCCTGGAAACCAATGATCCTATTTTAGGATTTCAGGCAACAAATGAGAGATTATTTGTTCTTACTACCAGAAACCTCTTTTTAATAAAAGTCAATACAGAGAATTAATTATTCTAACATATTGGCTTCTTTGTACTGGAAAAGTTTTCAGTGGTACATGGAGGTCTGGACAATATACTATAACCTCTTAAGTTTTAATGTGCTAAATATATCTTGTATGATTTTTTATTTTTTAAATAACATTGGAAATATATTCAAGAGATTATGATTCTCTAAAGCTGTGGAATGAAACTGCAGATTTAGAGAACATTGGTTTCTGTAAAAAAAAAAAAAAAGTGAAGATAGTACTAGCAAGTATACTTTTTAAAATAGGCTAGAATCTCATGTTTTATATGAAAGATGTACAATTCAGTGTTTAAAAATAAAAATATTTATTGTGTACTCTGTTCATTGATAAGTTGCTATAGTCTGTACCTATAAAATGTACAGGATAATAGTTAAATGTTGAGTATTGTACATATGTATTTAAATGGATTGAATAACTGAGTCTACATGGAGGGAGAAATGTTAGAGGACAGCAGTCCTAATATTTTTTAAGTTTATTGAGAGACTTCAGTTATTATTTTCAAATTAAGTACAGCTTTATGTAACTTTCAGCCAGTTGCTCTGCCACAGACATAGACAGAGAGAGATAAGATTTCACATTATCCATCACTGCGAAACAAACCACACCAAAACTCAGTGGTTTAAAACAGGGACATTTATTATTTTTCACAATTTAGTGAGTTGGCTGTCTCTGCTTTACAGGGCCTCTCAGCCTCCAGAAGGCTAGACGGGTGTTCTTTCCATAGTAGAGAAAACATCCTAAGAGAGCAAGCTCCAATATGCAAGAGCTTATCGATCCTGTACATCTATCATATTTACTGATGTTCCATTGGACAAAGCAAATCACATGGCCAAGTCTAGAATCAGTATGAGGAGACTACACAAGCTGGCAGATAGCAGGTGGTATGATTCATTGAGGGCCACTGATGGAACAATCTACCACACAAGGACAAATTATAATTTATCCTTGTAGCTCTCTTTATTTTTCTAACAATTTAAACAAAATAATCCTGTTTATATGTTACACTTTTTTGCCACAAATTTTGTTTTTTCAAACTTATCTTTCCAGGTTTGTTTTAGTATGTATGTACCTGGAAAGTTTTATTACTTTTTATAACATTTCAAGGTATGTATCTTATATAAACCTCAAGTTGGATTTTATATTTTAATAAGGAAGTTAAGACCTTAATTTAAGAGGCAGAAGGTTAAGATAAGAAATATAAGATAGAAAATATTTTTGCTAACATATCTTTTGCCTGTCTGGGCAAGTATTTGACTCAACTAAATTTTAATGAATGAATGTTTGAGAGACGGAGAGGAGGAAAAGAGATGAGGATTACATACATGTTCTAAACCCTTTGTCAGAATGCAGTTTCCTAGAGAGTATTGGGGTGCTAGGTAAAAAGTTAGGAAAGGTCCTGAGGACTGGTATTGACAATTGGAGTCCTAATAGTACTCTATTAGTATTAGGAAAGAGAGACTAGGTACCAAACGTCATGAGATCATAGACATAGAAAACTGTATAGTAACCAAAAACCAAACAGTAATATTTCCAGAACTTTTTAGTATTGTTGTAAAACTTCATGAAACAAAAGACCATTTAAATAGTGAATTATTAAAAATCTTTATTATGGGAAAGTAGATCTACATTTTTGCTAAAATTTTCCCCAAAGATAATAAATATCTTCTTAGGGAATGTAAGAAAAATGTATAATAAAAATGTGGTGCTTAATTAACCATGACTATGTATATATTGCAAATATTAGTAATCAGTGTTCTTTGTGCATGTGATTTTTTTGCATGATTAATGTTGAATTGAAAGCTCTCAGGATAATTAATCCTAAATGTTGTTGCATGTTGACGTATTTTAGAAGATGAATAGGCCTAGAGCAGTGATTTCAAGCTATTTTCTTGAAATGCTTCAGGGATTCCATAAACATTTAACTCAGCTTAAACAATGTTCTAAGATACATATACTTAGAACATTGAGGTATATACTACAAGCGCTAAGAATGTAGTACTTTGTATTTTTGTTGATTTTTATCATATTATAAATAGGAATTTATAAAATGTGTATGATAGTAATAAAGTAGTATTTTATGTGTTTTGCATATAAGTCATTTAACAATATTTGCTCTTTTAACACATTTAAGCATCAACTATTTACCTTAGCATGATTTTTTCAGTATTAAGGATAATGTATTACTATGGATAAGGAGACAATTTACATTCTAATTATTTTCAGGTAAAATTTCTTTTTAGGGAAAAAAAGAGGAGAGGGTAGCATAGAGTGGTTGCTTTCCTGCTAAGGAAGTCTGACCAAAGCTGGAACCTTGGAGACTACCCACAAGAGTCAGGTAGAGTAGTTGCCAATGGGAAGAGTTAGAAAAAAGAATCAAAGTGTCAAGAAATTAGGAATGGTTAACAGTGTTAAAAAAAAATACTCTTAAAGTACATTCATCACATTTCTACATAAAAGGGAAATGACTGTACAGAACAAGTTAAACCATCATTACACAGGAATTTCAGACATTTTGTGTTATTAACTATAGAAAAGAACAAATGGTAAGTTTATGTATGGCAAGTCATATAAGAAGGCAAAACTTTTACTCATCACTTATTATTACTGGAAGAATATTCTAGTTACTTAGTAGTAAGTGTGTCTTACTGAACAGGTAATAATAGGTGAGCTGGTAAAAAAAAAAAAAAAAGATAGGCCTAATGATGGAAGTATAGAAGTAATAAAGCAAAGAGAAGGAAGGCCTTCTAGAATTGGTAAGAAAGAATAAATGCACAAAAAGAGCCAAAGTAAAAGGTACCCAACCGGATATCAAGATATATCATGAAGCAGTAAAAAGGGTGGCGTCATTGCATTAGTAAACAAAATAGACATTTAATCATCCTATACTTACAAGAAGAAAATATCTATATTCTCAAGGTTGAGAAGGCTTCTTAAGATCCAGAAGGCAAAAATATAAGAGAGAGGATCGATGAATTTGATCATTACAAAATGTGAAATTTCTTTATGACCTACTTTTGGTAAAAGATAAAGCAACAGACTGAGAAAAGATATGTGACTCATGCATAATACATGAATATTAAAATCTAGAACAAAGAACTATCATTTAATAAAAAAGCAAACAAATTATACAAAAGGAAAGCAGACAAAAGATATGAACAGTTAATTCACAGAAAAGAAAATAAAGATGGTCAGTAAAGCTACAGTAAGCAAGACAATGTGGTATTGGCACCAATTCTGACAAATAGATCCATAGATTAGAATAAAGAGTCCAGTTAGAGACTCAGACACATATGGTCAGTTAATTTTAGTCAGAGATATTTCAATGAAGAGGGAATACAAAATGCAGAGATAATTTGATGGAGAAAAGATATCTTTTCAACAAGTGGCACAAAAACACTTGAGTATTCATTTTTGCCTTTATGATAGCCTAAATAGTGGCCACCCAAAGATACCCAGTTTCAATCCCTGGAACATAAAAATAGAACCTTATGAAGACAAAGAGTCTTTGCAGAAGTGATTATAATGAGGGTCTTTACATGGAAAAATTTTCCTGAATTATCTGGGGTGGACCCTAAATCTAATTGCAGTGTCCCTTATAAGAGAGAGGCAGAGTGCGGTTACAAGCACAAAGAGGAGAAGCAGCTTATGTGAAGATGGAGTTTAAAAGGCCACAAGCCGAGGAATGCTAGAGCATGCTGGCAGCCACTAGAAGCTGGAAGAAGCAAGAAATAGGTTCTCCCTCAGAGCCTCTGGATGGGGAATGGCCCTGCTGACACCTTGAGTTTGGTCTTCTGGCCTCAGAACTGTGACAGAATGCATTACCACCAAATTTGTGGTAATTTCATTACAGCAGCTATAGGAAACTAACACAGGCTTGTATCAGAATTTACTTAAAATGGATCATGGACCTAAATGTAAAACCTGAAACTGTGAAACTTCTAGCAGATAACATAAAGGAAAAATTTTGTAAGGCTGGGTTAGGCAAAGATTTCTTGCATGTGACACCAAAAGAGAAAACTGATAAATCATACTTCATCAAAATTAAGAAATTATATTCTTAGAAAGGCAGTGTTGTGACAATGAAAAGCCACAGACTTGGAGAAAACATTTACAAATCACTATTTGATAAAGGACTAGTATCCAGAATGTATAGAGAACCCTCAGAACTCAATAATATAATAATCAAATACATAAATTTTTTATTGGGCCAAAATATTGAACAGATACATCACACAAGATGAATGGCAAGTAAGCATGTGAAAAGGCACTCAACATTATTAGTCACTGGGAATGTGCGGATTGAAAGCACAATGTGATATCACTACATAGCTATTGAAATCCTTTAATTGAAGACTGACCATACCAGATGTTGGCAAACATACGGAACAAATGGAGCTCTCAAACACTGCTGTTTGGAATGTAAAATGGTAGAATCACTTTTGAAAAGAGTTTAGTGGTTTTCTAAAATGTTAAACATGCATCTTCCATATGACCCAGCCATTCCACTTACCCGTTCTTTTACCTAAGAAAAGTGGAAGTATATGTCTATTCAAAGATTTGAACAGAGCAACAGCATTCATTGCAGTCAAACCTCAGAATAAGTCAAATATCCGTCAACAGATGAAGGGCTGAATACATTGTGCTATGTCCATGCAATGGATTATTACTCAGCAATAAAAAGTATCAATATACCCAACATAGATGAATTGCAAAGTAATTATGCTGAGTGAAGCCAAAGTACATATTGTATGCTTCAACTCAAAATTCTAGAAAGTGCAAACACATAGAAAATAGGTTAGTGATTGCCTGAGTGGGAGAGATTTGAAAGATTATAAATGGGCAGAGAAACATTTTAGGTAAAGAGATATCTTCATTATGTTAATTATCATAGTTCGTGAGTGTATACACAAGTTAAATTTTATTAAAAAGTATACCTTAAGCATTCTGTTTTGCACATCAGCTCCTCAATAATGCTTTTTAAATTTTTTTAAAGATTATTGAATCTTACCAAAATTTTCTTATTGATTTAATTTCTGCTTTTTAATTGTTTTTCTTGTATTGCAATGGCATTTTAGTGTGTGTTTCCTATATTACGGGGATCAGCATCCCTTCCCTTTTATCTTGGAAGTATACCCATTCCCCTTATTTTGGAAGTATACCGTAATTTCTTTCTAAGCCCATATATTTGTGTGTTACTGACTCCGTCCTTGGCATCGTGTATAGAGAACATTATTAAGGCTAAACCAATCAGTACTTTTGAGAATGCAGAATCCCTGGTCACGGTGACTGGTTCATAAATGGGCACTTGACCCATTTAGAAACAGTGATTCACAGTGAGAATTTGCGGTGAATTCTGGGACAAAGCCTTACCACTGGATGTAAGAATAAAAGGATATAAACAAAACCACATTTGTCACTGCAATAAGGTGAGAACTTCTCAAAATAGGGAGCCAGCAAAGGATGGCACTAAGAGACTGAGAAAATGGACTTTGATAATGTCATCTAGTCCTACCAAGCAATTCTTAAAACCAGCCGTTCTTAGAATTTTGGATAATGGGAGTCATTAAGTTTTCTTTTTCCCTAAGTCAGTTTAGGTCAGATTTTCTGTTACTTGTACTCAGAATAGGCCTGATTCTATGATGGAAAATTCGTTTAATGTATGACTATACTCTTCACATTGAGACTTTATTCTAGATTTTTATATCATAGTCTATGGATGAGAATTATTGGTATTTTAATCCACATAGGGGTTCAATAGATACGTTACAAACGATTTTTAAATGGGGGAATTTTTTTCGCTTTAAAATAGTTTAGCAACTCCTCAAAAATGTATATTAATGAAAGGAAATTTAGAATCTGATTCTTTGGTACCAGGGAGGGAAGATAAAATTAAATGTATGCGATCTTTCAATCCTGAAGCTGTGTTTTCTGACTTCAGTATTTTCCATGCACCCAGTTTACAAATTTTTTACTCCAAACAGGAAAAAAAAATCTGTAACATATTACATTTTTAAGCCATTTAAATTTTTTCTACTTCTTCAACTGACTTTTTTTAAGTGTTTGAGATTCACTTTTAATGCTTGCCAGAATATCCAGTTTGAATCTCTTAATGCAGGAAAAAATGATATCAGGTGAATATTGAAGAAGATTAAACATACTCTTGACATTGGAATATTGTTCTCGTATCTGCCGTCTGTTTTTCACAAAGAAAATGTAGTTTGACCTACAAAGTTAGTACAGTCACTGAAATTTATGGAATGAAGAACTCTCAGAAAACTATTCTAAAGTCCTTTACTAAGTAGTAAGTAAACATTCTGTGTTTTTCTTTTATCTGCAAATATACGCTTACTTAGAGGAAAAAGAGAAGGATGAAGATTATCTTAGTGGAGGCAGAAGATAATATAAGCATAAAGCATACCCCTACGTAGGTTGATATAATAGGAAGTTAATTAGTGGTGCCTCAGGAACCCAGCTGAAATCAGGTGTGAGGAAAAATAACTGAGATTTCAGACAGTATGGAAAGCTGCTTTGTAAGAGTCTGGCAGTTTTTCGAAAGGTTGACAGTTAACAATATAACCCAGCAATTCCTCACCTAGGTATATACCTAAGAGTAATAAAAACCTGTACACACATGTTTATAGTAACATTATTCATAGTAACCAAAAAGTATAAACAACCCAAACAGCCATCAACTGACCAATGAATAAATAAAATGTGGCATATCTGTACAGTGGAATATTATATAGCAATAAATGAATGAAGTACTGACACATACTACAACATGGATAAACCTTGAGAACATTATGCTAAGTGAAAGAAGCCAATCATAATAGGCTACAGATGGTAGGATTCCATTTATATGAAAAGGCAGATCTCGCTGGGCATGGTGGCTCACACCTATAATCCTAGCACTTGGGTAGGCTGAGGAGGGCAGATCATTAGAGACCAGCCTGGGCAGCATGGCAAAAACCCCACTTCTACCACAAAAATAACAAATATTAGCCAGGTATGGTGGCACATAACTGAGGTGGGAGGATCACCTGACCCCAGGAGGTCGAGGCTGAAGTGAGCTGTGATTGCACCACTGCACTCCAGCCTGGGTATCAAAGTGAGACACTGTCTTTTAAAAAAAAAAAAATCTGTAGAGACAAAGTAGATTAGTGTTTGCCAAAGGCTTAGGGGCTACAGTGGGGGAGGAATGGAAAGTGACTGCTAATTGGGTATAGGGCTTATTTTGGGAGTGACAAAAATTGATTGTGGTGATGACTGCACAACTCTGGTTATATTAAAAACCCTTGGATTATATACTTCAGTAGGTAAGTTGTTTAGCTTGTGGATTCTGTTTCAAGGAAGCCGTGTGGAAACAACAAAAGCATGAGATAAGAGCTAAAATAAAAAGATTGAGGTCATCTTCCATGCTAAATATGAATGGGTTTCTAAAAATGTATTAGTATTTTTGCCTTCAACTTTGTTGAAACATCATATTTTTAAAGAAATTTGAATTTTATGGTAGGGAAAATATCCCTACAGTGTTATTAGGGAAACCAGATAAAGTGGTGATTCCCTCTCTTGCCAAAAAAGTATTTCAGAGGAAATACTTTTCCTATAATATTAGGAGGAGTTATTTGGACAAAACATTTTCTTGATTTTTGTTTTTGTTATTCTGATATTTACGTGTCATTTAAGACT